AATAAATGAACCATACAGAAAATAAATAAAAGTAAAAGCTGGTTCTTCGAAAAGATAAACAAAATCAATACACCTCTAGCAAGATTTATTAAGAAGAAGAAAGAAAGGAACCAGGTAAATCAAATCTGGAATGAAGCAGGCAATATAACCACAGACATAGTAGAAATACAAAACATGATTAGAGGATACTATGAAAAACTATATGCCAAGAAGCAAAAAAAAACATGGATGAGATGAACAAATTCCTAGATACATAGCATCTACCAAGACTGAGCCAGGAAGATGTAGAAAGTCTCAACAGGCCCATTACAAGTTATGAGATTGAATCAGTAATAAACAACCTCCCAACAAAGAAAAGCCCTGGTCCTGAAGGCTTCACCTCTGAATGCTACAAAATTTGCAAAGAAGACCTAATCCCCATTTTGCTCAAATTATGTCTAAAGATCCCTAATTCATTCTATGAGGCCTCCATCACCCTTATCATTAAAACAGAAAAGGGCAGGACAAGGAAGGAAAACTATAGACCAATATCTCTGATAAATATAGATGCAAAGATTCTCCACAAGATACTAGCAAATCATATCCAACCACTTGTAAAAAAGATTATATATCACAATCAGGTAGGCTTTATTCCAGGAATGCAAGGTTGATTCAACACATGCAAAACCATTAATGTAATAAGCCATATCACCAGAAGGAAAGATAAAAAACATATGATCATATCAATTGATGCAGAAAAAGCATTTGATAAGATACAACATCCCTTCATGATCAAGACTCTCAGCAATATAGGCATAGAAGGGTCATTTCTCAACACAATAAAAGCTATCTATGAAAAACCCACAGCAAACATCCTGAATGGAGAAAAGCTGAAAGCTTTTCCATTAAAAATGGGTACAAGACAAGGATACCCACTTTGTCCACTCCTTTTCAATATAGTACTGGAAGCCCTCACCAATACAATCATTAAAGAGAATAAAATAAAAGGCATTCAAATAGGAAAAGAATAGATGAAACTCTATTTGCAGATGACATGATTGTATACATAGAAGACCTAATGGTATCCATGAGAAAACTCCTGGAACTAATACATGAATACAGTAAAGTTGCAGGATACAAAATTAACATCCAGAAATCTATAGCATTTCTATATACAAGAAGCAGACTGAGCTACAACTGAAAAAACTAATTCCATTTACCATAGCCACATAAAGTATAAGATACTTAGGAATAAATCTAACCAAAGAAGTTACAGACCTCCACAAGGAAAATTATGAGAAGCTAAAAAAAGAAATAGAAAATGACACAAAAAAGTGGAAGGACATCCCAGGTTCTTGGATTAGAAGAATTAATATAATCAAAATGGCAATTCTACACAAATTAATCTATATATTTAATGCAATTCCAATCAAACTTTGAGACACATTCTTTTTTTTTAGAATTATTTTTACTTAATTTTATTTATTTATTCATTTTATGTTAATTTGACCAGAGAGAGAGAAATGAGAAAGCAAGCCACCAGGTCTGAGGCTAGAGCCCTGGTCAGTCATGTGGGAGTGTCCAGCGCCTTAACCACCATGCTACCTGTTGGTCCCTGAGACACATTCTTCACAGATTTAGAAAAGACAATCATAAAATTTGTCTGGAATCATTAAAGACCCTGTATTGCCAAAGCAAACCTGCACAAGAAGAGTGGAATGGGTGGCATCTCACTGCCAGACCCAAAAATATACTACGAAGCTGTGGTAATCAGAACAGCATGGTACTGGCACAGAAACAGACACGTGAACCAATGGAACAGAATAGAGTCCCCAGAAATAAATTCCCAAACATACAGTCAACTGATTTTTGACAAGGGGTACCAGTCAATTCAGTGGGAAAAGGAAAACCTCTTCAGCAAATAGTGCTGTAAAAATTGGATTTCCATCTGTAGAAAGATGAATCTGAATCCCTACCTCTCATCTTTGACAAAAATCAAGTGAAGGTGGATCAAGGATCTAAATCTAAGACCTCAAACTATAAAGCTGCTCCTGGAAAACAGTGGGGAAACTCTGGGAGACATTGGAGCAGGCAAAGACTTCTTAAATAAGACCCCCCAAAAGCACAGTCAATAATCACCAAAATAGACAAGTGGCATTACATCAGACTAAGAAGTTTCTGCATGGCAAAAGACACAGTAATTAGTATGAATAGACAGCCCTCAGAATGGGAAAATATTTTTGTAAACTATGCATCAGATAAAGTGTTGATAACCAGAATACACAAGGAACTCAAGCAGCTGTTCTGAAAAAATATGATCAACCCTATTAAAAGATGGGAGAATGAGTTGAAAAAACCATTCTCTATGGATGACATCCATATAGCTAACAGGCATACGAAAAAATGTTCAACATCCCTCATTGCAAGGGAAATGCAGATTAAAACAACAATGAGATACCACCTAACCCCAGTCAGAATGACTAAGATTAAAAATACAAAAAGTGACAAGTGCTGGTGGGGGTGTGATGAAAGGAGAACTCTATTACACTGCTGGTGGGAATGTAAATTGGTCCAGCCACTGTGGAGAACAATTTGGATATTCCTCAAAAATCTACAAAAAGAACTACGATATGATCCAGCAATCTCACTCCTTGGTATCTACCTAAAGGACACAAGAATTCTTAATCGGAAAAGTGCCTGAACATTGATGTTTATTGCGGCACTATTCACAATTGCTAAGACATGGAACCAACTCAAATGCCCACAAACAGATGAATGGATTGAAAAACTGTGGCACATATACTCTATGGAATACTATTCAGCCATAAAACACACACACACACACACACACACACACACACACACAGAACACTCTGATAGTTCACAGAAAGTGCAAGGAAAGACCCTGTATTGCCAAAGCAAACCTGCACAAGAAGAGTGGAGTGGGTGGTTTTACTGCTAAGTGAAGCAAGCCAGTCAATGAAAAAAAGACATTGTATGTCCCCACTTAATACATACCAAGTGTCCACACTCTATGAGAGAAACCGATTGACTAAAGGATATAGAAACACACTAAATGGATGTGAATACCATATATAGTATGTGTGAAAGAGTAGAATCTGAGGAAGGACATTTAGAGAAAAATAGAGGTAAAGCATTAATGGGACAAAGAAATGTGGTATTATCTGTTGAACATAATTTTATAGTTTATCAACTGACTAGAGAGAAATGTTCACATGTTGGAATATTCACTTTGTAAGCTAAATAATGTGATTGAATGTATAAAAGAAAATGAAATAAAAAATAAACAAAATGTCAACAACAACAAAAAGTAACACTGCTTTATTGAGAAGCCTCTGAATTATTAAAATATACCAAAAATCAACCAAGGTTTCTAACTAATTTTATTAAAATTTAAGCAAACAAGTATAATTCTTTTTTAATTTCATATTTACATTTAATTATTGTATTAGGTTGTCCAAAAGTCATGACATATTTTGCATAGAAAAAAAAAACACACCATGCCTTTTCTGACAACCCAGTATATCTTTGTGGAGCACAACATAGATTTTCAAAACATGCATGTAACTTATGACACTCAAATCAAGGATGATATCATAATGATTTTCAACAAAGAACTATTTTACATATATATCTATACACATGCACACACACTTGGCAATGTCTTTTTTCACTCAGTTGTGGTATGCTGTTTCACAACCCCTTTGCTCTATCTACCTGCATTCCTGTGTCTATTAAATGCTTTATTTCCTGATCCCTTCTTATCTCATCACCCTTCCATTCACTAAGCAGTCTCTGGTATCTATGGTTGTCTTTTCTACTTCTATGTCTTCAAAACTCAATTTGTACCACAGAATGCAGACATTCAGTATATACCGAGCAAGGGCAGACAGTGTTTATCTTTCATATTCTGGCTAGTTTCACTTAGTATTACATCAACTAGGTTTGTTCATTTTGTATTGAATGATAAAATTTCAATATCCTTTATGAGTGCATAGTATTCCACAGCATACATACGCCACATTTTTAATCCAGTTGTCAGTTCCTGGACACTTAGGTTGACTCCATATATCAGCTATTATAAATAACACTACAATGAACATAGATGTGCAAATGTTTTTACAACTGAATGATTTCCTACCTTTTGTGTAAATACCCAGGAATAGGATTTCTGGGTCATATAGTAGTTCTGTTTGTAAAGTTTGAGAATTTCCATATTACTTACCACAATGACTGTACTAATTTACATTCCCACCAACAGTGCAGGAAGTCTATTTTACTACAGTGTCAATAGCACTTGCTCTTCATTCTTGTTTGTCTTTTTCGTTTGTTTGTTTTGTCTTTTTTTTTTTTTTGAGAAGTTTTTGCTATAGGGCACATGCGCTCTCCAGAAAGATAGAGACAGAGAGACAGAAAGTGAGAAATCACCCCCCAGGGAGGATGGCCACCCCAAAATCCCTTCTACTCCATTCTCCTCTTGGGATCTTGGGCATGCACGCACATGCACCCACCATGAGTTTAAGCCACCAGGTCTGGAATTCAAACCATATTTGACTACATGGGAGTCCAGAGACATAGCCACTATGCCAACTGTTGGTCCCTTTGTTTGTCTTTTTAGTTTTGTTTTGCTACTGGCCAGTTCTGGTTGGGGTTAGATGATACCTCATTGTGGTTTTGATTCACATTTCTCTTACCATAAGAGATACTAAATGCTTTTTCATAAGTTTTGGCCACAAAACTGTATGTCCTTTCTCAATATATACAGAAAGGATTACGGTGTGTTGGAGGTGATATCTCAATTTCCCTCTCTCTCTCTCTCTCTATCTTCCTCTTTAGCAAGTGTATATGCCCTATAGCAAAAACTAAAAAAAAAAAAAAAAGGGTACAAAAGAAACACACAAAAAATTTGTAGACATATTCATGTACAATTAAATAAACTTCTCTTGAACTTAGCAGAAAATCTTTTAAATCATTAGAATAAGATTTTAATTATTACTTACTATGAAAACTCTGAATTCTGGTAGCATTAATCTTTTTGATTTGCGATTGGACTTTTGAAACTAAAGCAAACTCCTCATTTGATTGCAGAGCTATAAGAAATGCTAAACAAAAAAGCAGATCTACGATAAGACTTACGGATATGACTTTCAAGTAATCAACAAAATTTTCTCTCATTTGGGTAAAATTAAAGAAGAAGACTGCAAAACTTAAACAGTTAACAATTTATTAAAACAGTCCATGGAGGCAAAATGGGAAATTCATGTAAATAGTTTTCATGAATGTGTGTGAAAGCAGTATTACAAAGTACTCATTGACCATGCAAATATCATCTAAAGGTAGGAAACCTGTCACTTCAGTTTTCTCTTTATCTTAAAGTATTCACATTTAGGTTGAAGTGTAAAATTTCTATAAAGTATATGCTTATGAATGAAAAAATCTTCAAATGAGTTTAACTTAAAATAGTTTAAAGATGACTCTATTATACTTACCATGGCGTCTATCCATTCTTGTAGTTTGTAGATCCTGTTCTATTTGGGTTAGTTCTGAATCTTCATAGGCAAGCAATAGATTTTCATCGGCTACTTCATAATAAACTACAGAAAAAGAGATCCATTGTAAAATCTGTAGGTTTAAAATTTAAACCAAGTGTATGGCAGCATTTTCCCTCATTTTCACTGAGTTATAATTAAATGACTATTACGCTAATCTGACATAAAAATTGTGAGAACAGTTTTAACAGGCCTATGTTGAAGCTATTGATATTTTATTTTCACTACATACTGTTAACTAAAAAATAAAACTTAAAAGAAAGTATTGGGGCTTGGAGGTGGTGTAGTGGTTAAGGGCACTGGGCTCCCACATGGCTGATAGCATTTCAAGTCCCAGACCTGGTGGCTTGCTTTCTCACTTTCCCTATCTCTCTCTCACTCTATCCCTCTTTGGTCAAGTCAAAATAAACAAATAAAGTTAAATAATTTTTTTAAAAAATGGTATCTATCCATTACCTTTTGGGTAAAAGTGAAAAAATAAAATTTTTTAAACAAGAGACAATTACCTTTATAAAGTGACACATGTAAAACATAACCTAGAAGAGTATATACCTCATTACCTACAAAGAGAGTAAGAGGAGGAATGGAGGAATGTAAAGGGGAGGGATACAGGAAAAATGATACTTCTCTAAGCATGCCTTTTGCACATTTGTTTTTACTTTGGAAGTAAGTTAATGTATACGTTTCAAAAATATTTAAATGAACTCATAAGATTAGAAAGTAATCTGAAGAGTGCGGTGCAAATAAAAATGACAAAATCTTTTTAGTAGTTTTATATTTTCCAGTACAACAATCTAAACATTTCTGAAACAAATTTAGAAGTATTAGAGAATGTAGGAAATGAGTAAATGTGTTGTTAACATTCAATTGCATTTACACTGTGAAAGAAAGGACAAACACATTTAAAATAAAGGAAGGCAAAGAATTGGACTGAAATTGAAGGTGGCCATGAGAACTCAGATTTCCAAATACATTTATTTGTGTGTGTGTGTGTGTGTGTGTGTGTGTGTGTGTGTGTATGTAGGCAAATATATATATGAACATGTGTATAGGTACATGTATATATGTATGTGTATACACATACGCTTGTATCATTTTTCCTGTACATGTTGTTACTTAGGAATATGATGCTGCCATTAGGAAAAAATATATATATGTGATATTAATTTGCTGGACTAGAGGGCAGGTAATAAGGAAAGTACTATAAAAGTTTGAAAAATGTTGACTTTGTTATGTGCTGTTGAACATTTGGTCAAATGGATGCTAGGTAACTTACTAGAAAAAACTGTACCAGATTAAATTGTAGTGTTGGGAAGAGATTATGAGGCAGAATGTTCAAAAAAAGCATAATTTGAATCTTACCATATGTATTTCATAACATTTGGATTTTCAAAAGAACTTTAGGAGTGTTTTTTTTTACAGCAGCAGGAAATCAGACTAAGAAGCTCCAAATCTTTGTTCTCACATGGAGACAGAAAGCTAAGAAAAAATATATGGGCCTGAAACCAGAACACCTTTTTAAGAATTTTACAGACCAGCTGAGAAGCCACAGCACTTAGGTCAGCCCACAAACAAGGATTTCAGTTTAAAACTGTATTAAATTTTGGCAGAAGAAGCCACGGGCCTTCAGGAGAAGGTTCCACATGGCTACAGAGAACTAGATTTTTAAGGGAATGAAGATTTTCTACTAACAATTCATCCTCCAACAAATGAGCTAGGGGCAGAAGAAGCCACGGGCCTTCAGGAGAAGGTTCCACATGGCTACAGTGAATTAGATTTTTAAGGGAATGAAGATTTTCTACTAATAATTCATCCTCCAACAAACGAGCTAGCGCTAGGGAGCCCCCCCCCCC